AATCTTTATCATTTTACTAGAGTAAATCGCTTAATTCTCTCGTTAGTGCTTTAGTTCGGTGAATTCTAATAACGAAGATATATCTATATTTCTATTGGAGTTACTGCTAAAAGTAACCATACAAAATCGCGATAGAGTAACATGTATCTGGCCGGTAGTCCAAGATCATTTGGATCGTCTGTTAACGGTAGCTGCGCGTGAGAATCATCCTTACTTGCTTGAGAGAGTAGCTGTGGGTACGCTGAGATTGGCTATCATATTTTTACGCAGAGAGGAATTTGCGTGTCTGTCTTCTCTATTATCTCTGACCCATTTGCCGTCTGCGACAACCGCACCGTTAGCTCGACAAATCGCCTATGGTCTATTTGAGTTGCTGAAAATGGGCGTCGCTAATATTCACAGCGCCGAAGTTTGGAAGGTAATATTCAGCCTTCTGAAGTGCGCTGGTGCAGGCGCATTGGCGTCTAGACGGTCCAACATGGTCTTGGAGACGGCGAACGCTTGGGCATCAGTTCTGGACCCTAGATCTATTAGTCTCGTACCGGAATGGATATTAGTGTCGCCAACTAGTACAGAAGCGCCGCTTCCGGTAGCCGCTGACACAATAGTGTTGGCGTGTGATTTGCAACCGCACGATTCGGCGGCGTTCGTTAAATGCTGCGAAAGCCTAAATCTCCTGGTGCTTGATATGGCGCATGTTACACCCTTTAATTTTGATCTATGCGTTAACTGCATGAGAACGTTCGCCGAAGCGGTGCTGCACGCGGAAAAACGAAATAGAGTATGCAGTTCTACGGAGGAGTCGGTCGGCCATCAAGAGAGCTTCAAGCAGCTGTTGGAAGTAATGAAGACGCTGCATACAAAAATCGCATGGATATTCCGATGGTGGGCAGACGAAGGTAGCATTGGTGATGGTATATCCCCGTGGTCGCGAGCTTGGCGACCGCTACTGCAAACTATCGCACGACTTTGCTGCGATATTCGCAAAGAGGTACGCATAGCGGCAATCTCATATCTCGATAAAATCTTGGAGTCTGATTTGGCACAGCTGACCGTAATAGAGTGGTCGCAATGTCTAAAGGAAGTATTATTTCCACTGTTGGCGCAATTACTGGGTCCGATTGCAGCCAACGATCCTATCGGCGTTGAGGAAACGAGAGTCATGGCCGCGAAGCTGGTTTCCAAAACTTTTCTTGATCATCTAACTCCTCTTCTGACTCTACCCGATTTTCTGCCATTATGGTTAACGGTACTGAAGTTTCTACGGATGTACATGCATGCCGACAACAGCAAGAAGTTATTTAAAGCGATCCCCGAGTCGCTAAAGGATATGTTGCTGGTGATGTCGTCGATCAACGTTCTAGTGCCGAGCTCCAATCTTTGGGCGCCCACGTGGAGGGCAATAGACGCGTTTCTGCCGAATCTGAGAACGGGACTCTTCCCAGAACTGCCCGTTGCTGTTCTGTCGCCGCCGCAGCAATCACTGCAGTCGCAAGTTATTAGTTTGGTCAGCCAACAGCAATCACCATCTTTTCCGGGATTTATAGCGCCACAACCAGAAGGTATTTCTGTTTCGGCTGACGTTGAAAACTACAATGAGAACAATGCAGATGCGAAGACGCAGTCTGTGAATATTCTTAATCCTGCGCAATCCGCCGGAATTCCAATTTCGTTCCCGACATTGATGTACAATACCGAGGGTAAGGAGATGCAACAAATGATTACTCTAATTGGTCAACCAGTGCCCAGTCCGGTCGCGGTGCAACCAACAGCTCAGACTTTCTTTGATATTTGCTACTCAGTGAATTCCTTAACCGGCGAAAAAACACTCGAACGACAGCAGCATCAACAGGAACATCAGCAGCAACAACAACAACAGCAGCAACAACAACAACAACAACAACAACAACAATCTATGCTAACAAGTGAGAAAGAACATAATAAATTGATAAAAAATACCGTGCAAAATGTTGGTTTGGCGGATGAAAAGCGTGATTTGATTCTTGCGATGAAAAAATATGAGGAATGGAAACAACAGGAACAGCAACAACTGTTGATGCAACAACAGTATACGCAACCTATGCAATCATACGTACAGACAATGCAATATCAACATCCAATGACGGAAAATTCCCCATACCGCGTGGGTCCGTCAAAGGTAAATCTATGTCTTATATCTTGACCGGATCTTGAATAATTAATCGTTCGAGTCGATGCTTTGTCTTGAGATTAATCAGTACAATTCTTTTATACTAAATTAACGGAACAATCAATATGTTAAAAATTCATTAACATTAACGAAACGATGATTAAATATGTTTTTGTGAACGCATTTGCAATTGTGAAAAATCAATATGATGTGATCCATAGTTTCATCATATGGAAAAATAATTGAATAATTTACTTTTTCCGATAGTGGAAGCTATGGTAAAATGTAACTCAATATTTTGTTTACAGACGAAGACAATAGATTTTGTTAGGACGACGATGTTTAATTCCGCGACGTATTTTAGCGAGGATTCGGTGGATCTTCTCTTCGTCGTCAGATCTAATCTTTGACCATTGTATATTTCTTGTATATAAATTGTATTATATAAAATTTGTACAATGCGTGATTATATTCTGTGCAGAACATCGAGAAAATGAAGAGCATGTTTAATTTTTGTTTCTCAATATGCGTTTTAGTGTACTCACATGAGATACATATTAAAAAGCAGAAATTGGAAATACCAAATGCATTTTTTGCATAATGTAATAAAGATATACCATAAAGGAAATATATTCTTGTAACATTCTTAGAATCTACATGTATTGTAGAATTTTCATATACTTGCATAACGTGTAACATTTCTTGCAATTTTATGTTATAATTCATATTGTTTGGACATTTACACATCCTTTTAAATGATATCTAAATAATTCTGTAGCAAATGAATGTATGTATAGTATCATATACACTTACTGTTATCTTAATTTAGTAATCCATATGTTTCTGATATTCCTTTAAATTTTGATGTTTTATATATTATATATATTTGCTGACTTAGTTAGAAATTTGATAAAAAAAGTTTCCCCAAATTTGATAATTCATTGAAATGGAAACTTAAACATATCAATAATGGAATATTGGTGAGTAAAATAATAATAATTAATTAAATATTAATGTTATATAATATTGTACACATTTTTTTGAAAATTTTAATTTCTAATTTTATAGTTTATATCTTACATTTTTTTCATGTATTAAATTTATATCTTAAATTTCACTAAGAGATTCATTTCGTATTGAATCAAGGTCAATTTAAAATGTAATAAATATATAAATCATACATAGTACAATATGTATAGAAATGTAATATTTTATTTAAATAAGATATTTCGAAAAAGTACAATAAATTATCTTTCAATTTTTCTTGTTTTTTAAACAAATAAATTTTATGTTTATTAAGTTTTTTTCATTATTTATAGGCATAATTTTATTATCTATATACAGGATGTCCCGTAAATCGAAGTCAATCGCTCGAGAAGTGATAACGCAAAAACAAGAAAAAAAGTTGATATGAACATCCGGAAATTGTTTTTAAGTTATTACCATTTTTATGCTGAAATTTAAAATTGTTGTATTTCGAATTTTTTGTCAAAATTAAAAGAAAGAATGGACGGACACACGCACGTGTACACACGCATGCACACCACCACTGCCAAGGAATATTAAGAGCTGCATCTCTACGTGAGGGTAGTGTTAAAGCAACTTTTTTATTTGACTTTAGTTATGTTAAAACTCATATACTAATCATTCTTTCTTTTAATTTTGACAAAAAGTTCGAAATACGGCAATTTCAATTTTCAGCATAAAAATGGCGATAACTCAAAAACAACATTTCCAGACATACATGTTTATAACAATTTTTTTTCTTAGTTTTGGGACCCCAATCATCTTCCAAGCGATTGATCATAACTTACGGAATATCCTGTATATATGTATGTATGTATGATATATATACACACACCCACACCACGCACGCGCGTGTGGTGTGTATAACGTCACACTCTCACATTATCGACTAATCGAACGTTGCCGTTTGGCCGCGAGATTCGTGGTCGACGATCGACGGTTGACGGATAGGTCGATGGTTACCGCGTTGGAAGTTGAGACGGTGGTGGGAAGTGGCAGCTTGACGTGACGGATTTTCAGGAACGTGCGGTGGTCGAATTTATTTGGCTGCGTTGTGCATTTAGGTTCCTGTTATGGCGTAACGACAAGATCACACGAGGATGAGCAGAATCACGAGGCCCGTGGGCCCCTGTAGGGGCGGCTTGTACGTCATCGAGGGTGAAGTATGTCTCCTGGTGACGGCGATGCGACGTGGTGCCCGATGGTCGTCGCATTCTCACCAGGTTAGAATCTTAGCCACCTTTATCTGTATAATGATGTCCATTTCTATCAATATTAATTAACTTTAATCTTGGTTTAACTTGCTTTATTGCTCTTTCTTTGATTTTAAGAATTAGAAAAAGCTGATAAATTAAATCGAGATTGAAGTTAATATACAATGATGAAAATGGACAAGACGATTAGCATCTGCGTGGGAATACACATTTGTTATCGCTTCTATCAAATCGGATATATTGTGATATTGTTCTAGCAGCTGACACTTTGATGCTTATCCCACGTAGCCCATTTGTATCAATGTCTCTTAATTTTAATTCTTAAAACTAATAGAAAATATAAAGTAAATCAAATTAAGATTAAAATTTACCTAGAATCTTTCTAGAATTATACTAAATCTTTCTAGAAAGTTCATTCTGATTTAATTTTTAGGATGACAATCAGGACATTCTCATGAAAGGCTTGAATACCTTAAAGGAAGTGTTAAATGAACATAGAGATCTATCACAGTTGGAGCCTGCAGTTTTTCTCACTCCTTTTTCTGGAAATTATAAGATCTGAAGAAACTACAGGACCTGTGACTAGCTTAGCAC